TCTTCCCAGTCCTGCCTCTGCTTCTCCAGGGACTCCTGGGTCCCTTTCAGGGCATCGAGCTCAGTGGTCTTGGACTGGAGCTGGCGGCGGTACTCGCTGATCTCCTCCTGGGCTGAGCGGATGGCATCTGTGTTCACCTTGGCGACTTCAGAGAGCTTGTCCAGCCTCACTGCAACGAGGCAAAGGAGAAGCTGCAGCAAGCGAGGGAGGGCGGGAGGCTGCCCCTTCCCCTTTTGGGGCAGCAGCCCCTGAGCCTGCGCATCCTCTGTGTGCATCCTCTGCAGTGCCCAGCCCTGCCAGGGCCCCCTGGGGCACCGTGTTTCTGTCCCTCGCTCCACCTGCACCAGCAGGGTGCTGGGGGCAGGACAGTGCCTGGACAGGAGACACAGCACAGCTATTTTGTCTATTCTGGGTTTTGCTCTTTGTTTTCTGTGCAAACCTACTGTCTTAGGGGCTGCCTGAAGGACTCCTCCTGTCACAGACTCACCGGCCTAGGGAGCTGCTTGTTTCGCACTGGGGGGGAATGGCAGCCCCAGGCGTCCCCCCCCACACACGCACACTGCCACATTCAGCCTCTAGGGCGCCCAAGGGCGAGTCAGCGACACCGTCCTTGAGCGGGCGGCTGGAGGGCGAGGAGGGCTCTGCTGCTGCACCCCTCGCCGCAGCCGCTGCGCGATCCGTGTCCCGCTGGGGGGATGGGGGTGCCGCAGTGTCCCGAGGCCACCGCGAGGTGCGGAGGCCAGCGCGGCTGCTGAGCCCCGTCCAGCACCCCCGCGGGTGCGGAGCCCTTTGCCCAGGGCGCTGCTCTCCTCCCAGGAGCCCCGTGAGTGCTGAACACCCATCTCGTCTCCAGCCGCGCCGCGCTCCCATGGGGTTAATGCGCGCCCCGCGTTCTCCAGGGGGTTGATGCGGGGACACCCCGGGGTGCGGACGGAGCCTCTCTCCAGGGTGCTGAAGCGGGGACACTCCGGGGACAGCGCCACCCCCGGCCTCTCCCCAGGGTGCTGACACCCCCCACCACCACCCGCCCTCCCGGGGGTGCCAAGCCGCTCGCCACCGTAGTGCCCCGCCCAGCAGCGCAGCAAGGACGCTCCCTGCCCCCCCGGGAAGGATGCGGCACCCCCCCCAGGACTGCGCTATAACCTCCTCCCTGCGGCGCTCCGCCAACCCGCTCGACCTGGCCAGGATCCAGGGGAGAAAGACAGGAACCGTCCCCGCAAGCCCACACCGTTACCTCACAACCTCGCGGGGTGCAGTGCCCGTGCTGCCCTACACGCTAAGAAAGTGCGGGGGGCGGGGGAAGGAAGAGGGGTGTCCACCCTGCAGATCCCCGGGGTGCTGGGGTTACCGTAACTCCCTGCCGCAGCGCACTGCACCGAGGGGGGAGCACGGACAGGGACGTATCGCCCTCCTGAAGCGCGAAGAGCGACAGGAAAAAGGCGGAGGGAAAGGAGCCCTTTTGGGCTGTGGAGAGGAAACTCACCGCGAAACCAGTCCTCGGCCTGCAGGGTGCTGCGCGCCGCCGTGCCCTCCAGCTGCGCGCGCAGGTCGCGG